AGTACCAATTTTATTTGTTAAAACTGCACAGCGCCCTCTGTTGACAAAGTGATGATGCCTGCAAAATTTGTTGTATTGCTTCACCACCCTAAGGTTAATGGAAACTTGATAAGAAATTTGCTATCACATTTATTTAAAAAACATGATATATATAAATCCATGTTATGAGCTATTTTTAGTCCTATATAGTCTGAAACGTAATTGACTTGTGTTTATAGTTCCATGCATCCATCTTTGCCTGGCCAATGTCCATATTCTTAACCAATTTACATACAGAGACACATAGATATACACACGCACTTCAAATTGTTCCCTTGCACTTTTCCCTTACATTTCCCTAGCTATTAAGTTTAAAAAAAATTTTTTTTCAAAATATCATCAAACATTTCTCAGGCATGCCTAGACAAACACAATATGGCTGGTTGCATTACAAATGCAGAATTGATGTTGTTGTTTTTTTGGCATTTTAATAGATTCAAATTAGCATCCATTTTCTGTCACACTTTGACTGATTGTTTGAAAATATTGTATAAAAACAATGTGGTTTGCATGTGTTCATCAAGTTTTTGGTTGAATTTATTGAAATTTACATCCTTTCATTTGTGTCCCCAAATGTCAGTTCAATCAAATCCTATTCAGGGATGTATTTGTTGATGACAGATCACTCAGACATCATTTTTAAGTAATGTTACTGCTATTCATTTTAATAGAATATGATATGCTTTGTTGACTTTTTACCATACACTCCCCTCTGACAGTAATAACTTCCTTTATCTCCATGCATTCATCAATCATTTTCTTCAAAACTGTTTAGCAAGATTAATTGCTTTCATATTGCTATATATGCAGATGCTTTGGGTGCTTTCCACTGAGTTGTTCTGTCTCTGATTACATATATGGAGCATTTATATATATTCAAATTGTTTGTTTTTTTCAATCCAGTAAATTGTTTCTGTCTGTTTTCGGTACTTTCGACTTAATTGTTTAAAATATGAAATAATTGAAACAGTTATTTTTTTTCTTTTCAATTGATCAAAATCTAAGCAATATATAATGTTAATTACACTAGTGATCTGGAATACTATAATACTATGAACATAATTGGAATCTTTGAAATTATAGCCTCTATATGTGTGTATATTTGTCTATGCATGTACATGTCTGTCTGTTCCATCTTTATCCCAAGATTTCAATGAAACATGAAACATGAATGCCCTGGGACAAAGCACAGATCTTATTAGGTTTGGGGTGAAATCCATGCATATTTATTACATAATTTGCACAAATTGTGTCATGTGACCTCATTAATATGCATAGCTGTAATATCTTAACCACTGTTGAAGATAAGGATGTGCAACTGATGCTATAATAAGGCATTGCCCAAGAAATATTAAGTAATTACTTATCACATGACCTTGTGACCTCATTAGTATCTCAAGCACTGTTGGACGATGCAGCCAGTACAATGTTGAAGAAATTGAACAAGAGATGTGACATCAGATGGTCATATGTTACCTCATTAATATGCATAACTGTAATATTTCAATATGTTTTAGATAGGGACATTCGGCTAACGAAAACATCAAACGAGAGATATGACTAAATGTACCAGATGACCATATATGGTTATGGAAGGACTTTTGTAAATACCACACTAGTATAAAGGAATCATGTAAACACCACATGTAGCATAATAATTGACTTTTGTAAACCCCACACTAGTACAAATGATTCTTGTAATATCGCACTTAGTACAACAGAATCATGTAAACACCACACTTAGTACAACAGAATCATGAATCATGTAAACACTACACTTAGTACAAAGGATTCTTGTTAACACCTCACTTAGTACAAAGAATTCTTGTTAACACCTGGCTTAGTACAAAGGATTTTTGCAAACACCTCACTTAGTACAACAGAATCATGTAAACACCACACTTAGTACAACAGAATCATGAATCATGTAAACACTACACTTAGTACAAATGATTCTTGTAAACACCACACTTAGTACAACAGAGTCATTTAAACACTACACTTTGTACAAAAGATTCTTGTTAACACCTCACTTAGTACAAAGGATTCTTGTAAACACCACACTTAGTACAACAGAGTCATTTAAACACCACACTTACCGGTAGTACAAAGAATTCTTGTGTACACCCTACTTAGTACAACGGATTCATGTAATTATCACACTTAGTGCAATGAAATCATGTAAACATCACAAAGAACTCTTGTAAATGTAAATTTTGGAAACGTTATTTCGATTTTAGAAGCTGGTTAAAATTCTTCTTTTGCACAAATGCTCATTTATTCATTTGTTGATTCAATTCAAGATGGTGGAATCACAGTTGTTTTTAATTCATATCATATTGTTTGTCAGACCAGATTCAAAATGGGCAACTGCTGGCACATTTCAGAATATTCCACAAACTTGAGAACTCACAGGAACTATGTAATGCAATTGCTTGTTCTTATATTTTGAGCTCTTTGAAAACTAATAAATTAAAGACCAAAATTTCTTCATGGAAACCAATGCAAAGTAAATAAAATGAGTTTATATACCGGTAGATTTAAATTATTTTTAATTAATCCAATGTCATCTGATCTATTTAAAATGTGAATAGTCAAAACAATTCATGAGTTTTTTTTCTGAAGAATATTTAAATGCAAAATAGTTTTGATTCAATTAAAATAATTCTAATTTGTAATTAATTTCTAATTAAATATTTGTCCTAAACAATTATCATTAGCTTCTGTAATTTCCATTGAAAGACGACCCTCCATGCCTCTAAAAAATATATATACTGCTTATCGAATAAAAAGAGTTAAATTGAATCAACAGACACTATGTTCCACTATATTGGAATCAAGGAAATCAAACAATTCTGCTTTTCCACAATATTGGGTTTTATTGAGTCAGGAAATCACATTTTCTTGGTTCAACAGCAAAACCAATTAAACTAATGGGCCATGTGTGGTTCTTCAATCAGTTCCTCTCTGTGTAATAAAATTATTTGAACATAAGTCATCCATTTATCGCACGTCTCCCATTTATTGCATTCCCATATTGCTTGCATCATAAGTTTTCAGTTCATCACGCATATTAGCAAACGTACCACACTGGGGTTTGAGTGGACTATAGCTAGCTTAAATCACGGTAATTCTTTCGACTATCAAATAGCAATAAAGGAGTTATTTCTTGTGAGAGCAACATTTATTCGAAATAACAGTTTGTATATAAGTTCTGAACTACACATCCTCTTTCTGTCAAGGATTTGAAGCAAAAGTACATTTTTTCGGCTTCAACATTTTTCTCTTGATTTATAAACTTTAAGGCAGTTTACACTATGTAAGACTGATCTAAAGTTAGCATTTTGTAAAAAAAACTTTTTACTTTATTACTCAACATAGTCCTTTCATATAATGACTTTGCTCAGTGTCTGCATGCTGATTGGTTGACAGATAAGGCTGTGTAAATGACCCTAAACAAGGTGACTTTATGAGCTCTGAATATCACATGATCCTGATAATAGTAATTCATTCTCACCTTTTAGCTCACCTTTGAATGCAAACATGTTGACATGTGTTAATGTCATTTTATCATCAATCAAGGAACAAACATAACATCTTTGTGCGTAGCCGTCCAAAAACGGGGACTATTAGTTTACATCTACACTTGGTCAGTTTCCACATCATTCATTTCTAAATTATGTGGCACTGAATATAAAGCAAAATCAAAGGTGCTATATGTTAGCTGCTGGCAGAATTACTTCAAAAAGCAACATTTATGCAAAAATAACACTTCAGAATCAGATTTTCGTCATATTCCTTGCCAATTAAAATTTGATTTGAAAATACACTATTTCTACAGAGAATGAATAACAAATGCAATAATTAGTTATGGCAGATATGTACATGTACTATTATGTATTATTTCCCACAATACTCAAAGGTAAGATTAAAAAGTAAAGAAAACTTTAGGTAATATGCTGTAAAATAACTAATTTTCACTGGGTTTAAATTTCACTGATTTAACATTTCAGACATATTCGGTGAGTTTTAAATTCACAGTTTTATCATTTAGATAATGTGTTCTGTGCTCAATTTTACATATTCACTGGGTTTTAATTTAGCGCATTTTCCAGTCAGCGAAATAAGCAAAAGTAAAACTCATTGAATAATTAACCCTTTTACAGTCCCCCCTCAATTGTGTACCCTTTAACGAGATTTCAAAATTTGCTTTCATTGAGCTGTTTTAATAAGAGCATAATATACGTTGATTTTTACAAGTTTGTTTTTGAAACATTGTAATATTAACGTGTATAGTTCCAGAATTCAACACTTTCTTTTTGTAGACAATACCAATAAATACAAGGCTACATTATGTTTTTTTATTCTTAGTTTAACATCAGTCTTTAGGGCTTAGGCTGATTAAAACCTGATTCAGGTAGATTGTCATTGGATTTTTTTTTTATCTTATCGTAAGTAAATAGTTGCCTCCAACCACATCTGACACAATACAAATGGAAATCACGTTCTTAGGCTTTTGTCGAATATAGAAACAACACATATGCATGGAGTGATTGGCTGTTGATCAAACAAGATTTGAATGCAATTTTTATAGAGGTTACTGACCTGGGAGGGGGGGGGGGGGTGAGTGTCTGCCTATGTCAAATTTTAATCAGATTGCCTATGGCTTGGATTAAAATGAAACTCTGCTTTTATAATCACCCATGTCTGCTAACATGAAAAATAAGTTGACTAAATAATAATACAGGTTTATTAATTATTAAATTCAATATATTAATTATTATATTCAATATAATCATGAAAAACAAAATGATTATCAGTTTCTAAAACATTTTTAATAATTCTAAATTAGTGTTTATTAGGAATGGTATACAAAAATATAGAATGACAAACCATTTAGGGTTATTTATTTATTTGTTTGTTTATTTATTTATTTGTCATTTTTTTATTTTTGTTTACAGTTAGACTTTGTTCAGCGTCCATCCTGGCAGGCACAGATCTCAGGACAAAAAATCTGGACTCTGATTCCTCCCCCTGAATGTGAAGATGTGTGTAAGGAATCCATGAAGGTTACTGTTAATAAAGGCGATATAAGTAAGTACAATTCTGTGAAGTGTTTCAATTGATGAATACCCTGAAGACTTATAATTCACTCACGATATTGAAATGACATTATTAACCTATCCTGCTATTATAGCCAGTTGTAATATAAACTTGTTAATCAAAACTTACAAGTGATTGTAAACTCATGCTTATACATGTTGCTTTTGTTATGTACAGTATAATTAAAAGTTTAATACACTATTTGAAAAGTGTGGTATAATATTTGAAGATAGCACTATATACATAAAGTCAATTTAAGTGAGAGGAATCCAAGTGACAATTTTGTGAATTTGTGAAATCTTTACCTCATTTTTGCCTTCAACCAAAATAAAAAAAAAATAGTCTAAGAATAATTTTTTAATTTTCTATGAAAATATATTTTAATGACATTTAATAAAATTTAAAATTCTTTGCGCATCATTTG